TGTTTTTTTTTTTGGTATGATTATGAATTAAGATGTCTGAAGGTATTTTACTTTTGTGCAACATCTGTTAACGCTACTAAAAAGAAAAGAAAAGGTTTATGGTAATTTTTTTTTATATGAATTAAGATGCTTGAAATATTTAACTTTAAACTTTCGTGCAACATGTGCTAACGTTACTAAAAAAAAAAAATGATTTATGTTTATTTAATTTGTTTATATTAGTAAATCTCAAATAAGATTTACCAAACGGCAAAAAAAAAAAGTTTGTGTAAAATACATATGTTTCATCTATTAAATACTTAGATTCATCTTATTAGCTTTTAAAGTTTTAAAACAATATATCTTATAATTTAAGGTTGATTTAGTGGCTTGTAATGCTAGAGTACATACTGTACATTTCTGCGATTTTTTTATTTTTGCAACTCTATTTAATTTCGGAACTTCTCATTTAATTTAAGATTTATTAAAGACTGGCTCTGACATTTACGGGATTTAAGTTTAAAAAAAAAACAAATGGTTATTTTGGACAGGTTTTAAAAATGAGGGCAAATTTTAAAAATTTAGTAGAGAGGGTTATACTACTCATTTAAATTTTAGCCAATGATGGATTTTAAATGTACTGTCTACTTAGTAGAGAGGGTTCTACTAACTTATTTTTGATGTTACCATCTGCTAAATCATGGATATTGATAAATGAAACAGAACATTCATCAAATATTAATAAAGACTGTGATCCGTTAATTTACGTATCATGGAAAATGAGCAATTTTATTCGAATTTTTTTGAAAAATAGATAGATATTAAATAAACCATATGTATTTTAGTCTTGTTTATAGTAAAACATTATATAACTAAAGAATATGTAATTCATGTTGTTATCTAACTTAAAACGTAATTTCGATAAAGGTTAAAATCTGCAGGTCACCGGAAGAAGGATCATACGGGATCACATTGGTTCTCCAAAATGTTGAGGATGCTCATGATTACCCTGAGCCCTTTCCCCCCTTAGAAGCTGAAGCAAAAGCCAAATTGGCGGCTATGCAACAAACCTGGATTAGTGGTTTCCGAGATGTTTATTTTGAAGGAGATTTTGAGGTCTTAATTCATACCATGAACAACCAAACAAGGAATATCTCCATAAACAACCTTCTCCTGATTATTGGTCTTCGAAATTCTCTAAACTTTGTTTCTCTCATACTAGAAGGGATTGTAATAAAGTTCCCCATAATTTAGCAAAGTATGGTTGTATTTTCCATGATTTTTATTCTGATTCGCAAAATTCACTATATTGGATAAGTGAACAGCTTTGTATTGACAATGTTTTAAAGTAATTAAGTTCACTTTGAAGAAAAAAAGTGACAAAGATTTTAGAAGTAAAAAGTGACAAAGATATTAAATGGTTTTATATGATTAAGCATCTTTGTGAAAATTTTATATAAAATCTAAAAACCACGACTGTAAATATATATCAAAATTTCATAGCATTATTCTAACTAAAAACACTTAAAACAATTATAATAAAAACTACAAAATACAAGTTTAGATAGAATGGTAAAAGTAATTCTTTGAGATTTGGAAAAGTAAAGTTAAATAAAACAAAAAAATACCAAAACATATTTTATAAAGAAATACTAAAATAGAGGGAGTAAATGATAAAACGAAAAAAGAGAAGAAAATAAGGTAACTAATCACGATAGCTTTATAATTTTTTATTAGTGTTGTTACATACGTCATCATCCGAATTCAAACATATGTAGTTCACGTTGTTAACTAAAAAAGCACAAAATCTAAAAAGAATAAATTAAAAGGCCACCTTTCTAAATGTACATCATGCATGTTATTTAAGAAAAAATATAAAACTAACATCTTACTATTACTAAAAGATGATAAATTGAAATTCGTCATTTTGTTTCCATATTAGTGCGAGATTTAGACTATAGAAATAGAAAACACATACAATACCGGTATTGTTTTTTGGTTACATTGAATAAATATTTTTGTCAACAAATAAAAATTGAATAAATATACAATAGTAGACAAAGAAAAAACATATTAAAATGATTTTTGACTGTTTAAACATGTTTAGGGGATTAATGATTATAAAAATATTTGCCCTAAAGCCTATATAAGCTGAAGCGATTAAATCAAGCAACAAAAACTAAATGGTGTGAAGAGGAGGAGAATTGAATAAACTCAAACCAAGGAGAGAAAGCTGAATCCTGAAGCTCTTAGGTTGGTAGTAGTGACCTGGTACAACCTCACAACGACACTTATAATTAAGGATCCAACCACACGAATTTTGAACCTTTTGCTTGGGCTATCTATATTGAAACTTGATCTTCTATATTCACACAAATTTGAAAATCAAGGTCCAACAGTTTGACCATTAATTTCGAACATTTTCTGTTTAATCTTATTTTTTAATATCTTAAAAAATTAATGGTCAAACTGATAAATTTAAAGTTTATAAATTTTTCGCTTTAAACAGGCTTACGATATACCTCGGTCATAAGACTCAAAATTAGCAAGACAAGTCTTTCACGCTGCAGTTTATGCAGTTTGGAGAAAGAGAAATGATCGGAGACATGGGGCAGAGCCGAACATCGCAGCAAGATTAAAAGGCTGGATCGATAAACAAATAAGAAATTAGCTCTCATCAATCCGACTAATGGGAGACATTAGATACAATGAAGATCTTCAACTCTGGTTCCGATCAAGACTTTAAACATATTTTCAGCTCATAAACATTATTTCAGTTTTTAAATTTCCATCTACCAAAAGATGCACTTGATGTAAAAACGTATATTTTTCTTTTAAATTTAATTTAACATTACATTAAAAAAATAGGCTCAAAATTAGTGTGGATAGACACTCAATTGTAATTTTTTGTGGACTATACCTCGATAAAATATGCAAATAAGACGATAATTTTTTTTCTCTGTATACATCAATCTTAAATTGGTTATTTATTGACCAACCTTTAATGTAAGTCCTGCTATGTTGCTACTTATCATAGGTCTAACTTTAAGACCATGATCAATATGCTTGGGACGACAAATAAATTTAAAATATATGTAAAACAAGTGGAAGACAAGAAAAAAAAGATCAACAATTCTTTGTTGATCAAAGAGACTAAGGTGAGGACGCACATCACAATCAAATTGAAGCACATACGGAATGGAGATATGCATGGATATAAACTATCTTCATCTATATGAAAATGTCCTATTTTTTAGGACAAAACTCTTTCTATTAAGAGAGAATTATCTAATAACCATTAGTTGTAATTAGAATTCGAATTAATCACCATGCCCACAACAAACCGATGATGCAAAATGAACCATAGGAAAGCCTCCAAATACATGTTTCAAAAACATAAATTTAATGAATAAGATCTACAAATTAGTGGGTAGTTTGTTAGACCAAATTGAGCATAAGGATACCACAAAAAATTGTCCAACTTGTACAATATCCGGGTTTATCGACTGAAGACTAGTTGGAGGACAAATCCAAAACAAGGCATAAATAGAGAAACAAGAAACCCTAATTAATTGCAATTTTTTTATAGAGTTGTACATTAATCTATCTTTACAACAAAAAATTATAGACTCAAAACTCTACCACCTGAAAATAGTGCGCACAAGAAAAGAAAATGAAAAATTAAAACCTTGAAACTATTATCTTATTTTCACAAAATGATTATAACAAAAAGTTATCATTTTAAAAATCTAACAGAAGACTGAACAAACGAAGATTGGAATAACTAGCTTTTTTTTGGTGCACCAAATTAATTATATTGCTCAACAAATATTCTGGCCATAGAACAAAGAAAATGTGAATCCACTTAAGAAATATATAGTTGCGAAGATTTGTAATATGACTAGAGATTGATCCACGGTACACCGCGGATGATTTGTTTTCTCAAATTTGTGAATTTAAAAATTTTAAGATTATGTATTATATATAAAATTTTACAAATTGTATCATTTTTTATAATAACCCGGATTATAACCCGTATTGAAGCAGCGTGTTAATGATATTTTAAATTTTTATTATTGTTGATTCAACTTATCCCGTCATATAACCCTGTTCCGCAATGTAATATGTGATGTGCTATTTAAATGTTCCATAAAATTTTTATTGATTTTAAATATATTAATTATAATATTTAAAACTTTTAAAAAGTTTAAATTAACTATATTTGGTAAAATTAAACAGTTTAACTAAAAACCGAATTGAACTGTGTACAAACTTTTAAATATGTTTGCTAAGTTAAGTTTAATGCTCATCTATATTTAGATTCATTTTGATCTTATTTATAATATGATTCTGAATCATTGTCTAAATATTTTAGCTGGTGTGAGACGTTAAACACACATTTTTCATTAATTGAGATATATGTCTGCTTTTAAAATTTTGAATCACAATATATGCGTGATAAAAAAAATGAGATTGTTCTTAGTTTTACGTATTATATGATGATTCAAAACAATTAAAAAATCATACATAGATGATAGGAAAATCATAATTTTAAATCTTAACCAAATCTTTTAAACATCTATATTATTAAATATGGATCGTTATATGGATATATTTTATAATTAATGTTCAAAAAAATTTAATTGTGTTTGGTTATATGGATAATAGATAATTAATCATAGAAATTATTTGGATTCATGATATAATCAATGACATTCTTTGTAAATAATCCGCGGGAATTTCCAGATATATTACTCAAAAGAATCGGCATAATATCCCTAGTCGATTGGAATTGAGAAAATTCTGTCCCTATTGTTATAAACATACAATTCACGGGGAAATCAAGAAGTAGATCAAATTGAAAAAAAAAAAAAAAAACAAAAGGTTTTCTCTAAAATATACTTTAAAATGTATATATAGATTAATCATACAGCCAATTTAATTTAATTCTCCAAAATTAAAGTAAATTAATTAAGCAGCGTATTTTTCAGAATATATATAATCTCGTATCGGTATCGGGCTTTCTCTTCTCTACTGGACTGAAACTGAAACTAAAACTGAAACACTTCTCTTCCTCTCTCTCTCTCTCTCTCCAAGCTCGCTTCCACGAATCGAGAGTTGTACAAATTCGCTTCTTAGGGTTTCTCATTTCTCGAATTTCACTTCTATGGAGAGTCTATGAGCGAAATGGCGGCTAGCTCCGCAGTCTCTCTTCTCGATATCAAGCCCCGACGATTCGGCGTTAATCATGAATTGCGCCTAACGAAGTGGAAAAGGAAAGTCCTTTGGTTCGATGGTGATCAAACGAGAAGATTTAGGTGCTTTGCAGATATGTTGGCACCGATTCGCCGCTCTGAGAAGTCGGAGGAACGGCGTTTCGATCAGAAGACGAGTGCCCACGGTGCCGGAATCAAAACTTCATCTTCTGCAGTGCCATTTGCTTCTCCAAAGTAAGATATTGGTCGAATTTTGGGTTTATTGTGGTATTCATGAATGTTGCTCAAACGTGTAGAACCCTCTCTATTAAAACAAAACCAATGCTGTTTGGTAGTTTTTGATGTTGTTTATGTTTCAATTGTCAGATCTCGATTTGTGTCCAAGCAAGAAAAGTTCTACCCTCGTTGTACTCCAAGGCTTACTGGCCCTCAGTCCCGTGATACTCCGCCTAAACGAGGTTATTTACTTCTTCTTTTTTCGCGTGCTAGCTTTGCTTCTTGTGAATGTTAAACCCATGCCAGGGTTTAATTAACAAGTTTCTGATTGTTTTTTAATAATTGTAGACACCGGGATTGCTAATGAAAAGGATTGGGGCATTGATTTGTTGAATGAGAATGTGAATGAGTCTGGCACTAATGAAGATGGCAGTAGTTGGTTTAGAGAAAGTGGACATGATCTGGGAGATAATGGTTACAGATGTAGGTGGACAAGGATGGGTGGTCGGTCTCACGACGGCTCTTCTGAGTGGACTGAAACGGTACAAATCGTTTCCCTCGTTTCCCTAGTGTTAAATTTTGACATAGTCTCTTAGCTTTTCTTCTCATATATACTTTGACTAGGGCTTGCTTTGTGAGAATAACCTTATGAAGTTGTGAAAAATAAAGTTTTAGAGGATTTATGCTATCTTAAATACTGGGATTGCATTCTTATTGTTCCCTGAGTCTAGTTATCTTGAGGTTATTCTTCGTAACCCCATGAAGTATCACCCCAGGTGGACGCGTTTAATCGGATTTATTGATATCATTGACAGTGGTGGGAGAAAAGTGACTGGACTGGATACAAAGAATTAGGTATCGTACTCCTATCCTTATTGTTTTCTGGAAAACATCATCTCTTGCTTGATAGGTGTAGAAATTTGGAGGCCTTTTTACCAAGTTGGTAAAATTAGGAGCATTGAAACTGTTGGAAGGTCACTTGATATTTAGTTTTTTTTGCTCTACTTCCTTTCCCTTTCCCCTTTATCCCTTGGTTTTTGATACTGATGATTAATGAGTGTGTCAAGGTTTATGTTTTTTATGTTTTCAAATTCTCATCTCAGTGGAGTGAACTTTTGTAGGTGTGGAGAAATCTGGTAAAAATGCTGAGGGTGACACTTGGTGGGAAACTTGGCAAGAAGTCCTTCATCAAGATGAGTGGAGGTCTATGTTCTAACATTCCCTTTACCAGATTTAGCATCTTTGCTAACGTTTTCACGTTTCTAGATTCTTACAGTCCTCTCATTGTTAACCTGATCAAATTTCAGTAATCTAGCGAGGATAGAAAGGAGTGCACAAAAGCAAGCAAAATCAGGAACCGAAAATGCCGGTTGGTACGAGAAATGGTAGGTCAATAACAACACAAATTGCTTATATTACCTAGTAGTGTCTGCTTTTGTTTGATATAATGGAGAAGCTTATGCTACTGGAGTATAACTATCACTCACTGAAAACCAGGTGGGAAAAGTACGATGCTAAAGGGTGGACAGAGAAAGGAGCACATAAGTATGGTAGACTAAATGAGCAGTCATGGTGGGAGAAGTGGGGGGAGCATTATGATGGAAGAGGATCTGTTCTCAAATGGTTTCTTTTCTAACTACTCTCTAGTCCTCAATTTTTCGCTTGCTGGTTTATCTATAAGTGCCTAGTGACACACATGATGGGGGATGGAAGTTACTTGAGCATTAATCTGTTAGAGACTTGAGATCAAAGAGATAGTGTTAATGATTTTGATTTTGTTATTGGTGAACTATCCAGGACAGACAAGTGGGCTGAGACAGAGTTGGGGACCAAATGGGGAGACAAGTGGGAAGAGAAATTTTTCAGTGGGATTGGTTCACGTCAGGGGGAGACATGGCATGTATCACCTAACAGCGACCGTCAGTTTCTTCTTCTTTTTCTTCCTTAAATTCCCTTGTTTGACTATGTTTGTAATCACGCCTTACCGATAATATCACGTTTCCAGGTTGGTCAAGAACGTGGGGAGAGGAACATTTTGGAAACGGGTAAGGAACTTTGATTATTTATGTTTGCCTTTGCACTGCATTTAGTGTATATTTCTATACAACGGAGGCCTAATATTAGATCCTTGATTGCAGAAAGGTTCACAAGTACGGAAAGAGTACGACAGGAGAAAGCTGGGACATAGTCGTGGATGAAGAAACATACTACGAGTAAGAGAGAGAGCTTACATCTTAGCATATAATCTAACCATTGTGGTTTATTAATCTATCTTGGTATCATGTTTTGTTGAAGGGCTGAGCCACATTATGGGTGGGCAGATGTGGTAGGTGATTCAACACAGTTGCTCTCGATCCAACCCCGAGAAAGACCTCCAGGTGTCTATCCGAACCTCGAGTTTGGCCCATCTCCGCCTCCAGAGCCCGACCAACCCCCTGACCAACCACAATGACATCGCCTCTGTTTAGCTTATTAGCATTATTATAGCCTTTTTGCTTTGTCATTTTTCCGATATATTTAGAATGTTGTGAATTATGGGTTTATATGATATAATTCTTGATCCATTTGATCCAACGTCCATCTCTTGGAATCTTTTGCTCAAGGATTAGTCCTCTCATGTCCTTAAATGATGCTGATTAATCAAATATCTTTAGTGTATTGTGAGCAAGCAAGCACAAAAGCAAACAAAGTCCTTAATAAGAAAAAAAGAAGACACGCATCAACATGTAACGGAGCAAAAACAAAATAACTCAAATCTTTTTTAGTATGTCTATCAAACACTTAAGCTTATCAATGGTTCAACCCCATAATCTAAATGTATTGTGAGCAATGAAGAAAAAAACTTGTATATTTTTATCACATACAGGACAAAACTGGAGGACTTCAACTAAATCACCTCGATAAATTACGAAAGTAGAATCAGAGAAACTTGAACATCATCATCTTCATTTTATATATTTGAATCAGAGAAGCTGCGGGTACAGACGTTCAGGCCACTTGGGATAAGCGCGCTTGTACAAGTTCATGCACACTATGTCATGCTGCTGAACCACTCCATTGAATATGCATTTCATTGCCCCTGCACAGTTCACATGTATAAGGAAAACTCCAGAAACAAAACTCAAACTTTTTAGTCTCTTCTAATAATACTAATGACTTACCATGTGTGCCGACTGGCTCCTTCACGCGACCACGACGCCCGCATTTTGACCACACTTCAACAGGCTGCACATACAAACATTGTTCCATCCTCAAGATTTAGCTTAACATATGAAATAATATGTAAATTATTTATTCCATCGATTCTACTTTTCTCTTTTACCTTGAACCATTTCACGTCTTCTGGGTTGTGGAACATATATCTGACTGATGCTTTCATCTTTGACACTCTCTGAGGATACCTGAACCAAACCACATTTCAAACAGCTTAGAATTACCATAGATTATGTATTTTTCTCCTCAGTTCAGAAGTCAGAACATTAGTATCTATGCAAACTATAATATGTGATTGTACTTGGGAAGAGGAAAGTAATAACATTACCCAGTTAATATTATCTTCTTTAAAATTATTTTGTTGGTGTCTACGCTTTTCAAGGAACCAAGGGCAGCCACGGCAGGAGCATCCGACCCTTCAGAAATCTTCAGAACAACCAAAGGAAGTGGTGGAAAAGATATTGGACCGTATATTGAAGCCAACGAGAAACGCCCTGGATGCAGGAATCTCTCCATCTTGTGCTTGTCTGAGCTGAAATTGTCGGTTGAAAATACCGGCCTGGAAATTCCCCGACCACATATTATTAAAGATTGCAAACAAAAAAAACTACTACAGTAGTTTTAAAGCAGAAAAAATTTGCTACCTTGCAATGAATTGGCGGAAACCAACATGAAACATAAGCTCTTCTTTTGTTTTAATAGGAGCTTCATAACCATCATACTTCTTTACGCTGCAAAGCATAAACAAAGGCGATGAGAAGAGGCTCAGCATACAAGGTCTCAATAAACAGATATCTAAAGAGTGATTACCTAAAATGCAGAACCGACATCTTGGATTCATGCTGCAGAAGCCCAAATCCTATAATGGGTTTCGTTGTGTTCACAAGGGAGGATAGTTTAGAGGCAGCACCAAGAGGTACTTCTTTAATATGCAGCCGTACATATGACCCAGTTGGTACACAATCATCTCTGTTTTCTTCTTCCATCTTCCGGGCTTGCTTGAGCACAAGCTTTTGAGTCCTGGCGACATTATCAAAAGCAAAAATTCTGGCATAGTCCTGAGGTAAAGACTCCTGCATTTGCCAATAAATTATAAAAATTATCAACACTTTCTGTGAAACAAGAAACAACAATATTGAATTTCACATCAAGATCAGTGTTACTACATTTGGATCCCACGAGGAGGTTCTGAAGGATTTGAGACCCCTGTACTTTGCAAAACGTCTTCTTGCAGGAATATCAATGGGAGTCTCTACTTCATCTGGAAATTCTGACAAAACATAACAGAAAAGTTTAATTCACTTCTTGTAATCTTAATAAGTAAAAACAGAAAAGACAGACAAAATCAATTAGCACATGAGAGATTCAGAAACTCTACAAGGACTCAAATGAATAGCATATCCACACACGATGAATCATACAGAAAATAACTCCACACAGAGGAAATAAACACCAACCCTCATCCTCAGCATATGCCTCTTTGATTTTCTTGATTTCATCCTTAATTTGTTCCTCTGTCAAGTCTTCATCGTCCTGAACAATGAGCAAATTGGCTTATACCATTACCAAGATACTCGACAAGAATAATAATGCAGTGAATCTACAAATACTGTTTCGCAAATCACAAAAGTATGTGGACGGAAAAATGTATACCATCATTTCCGATTCATTCTGAGTTTCACTCTCAAAATCCCGCAGGTTCAGTGATTTTTCATCATCCTCAAATTCTTGGTCATACCTCCTTTCTTGATTGGATTCCTCTCCTCTATCCAACACCATGCCGTTATCATCGGAATCACCATTATCGGAATCCTCTTCATCTGAGTCATCCACAATCCAAGCAGCCTGCAAACCAAATCATAAAACCCAAAATAAGAGGGCCACCCACATAAAACATTTATTTTTGAGAAAAATGCACTGGACGGAAGAATAGTTAAAATGAGGCTAGAAACATCAGGTTGAAAATAATCCAGAAACCTGATATTCTGAAGTCCCTCGCGGCAAAGTCTTCTTCTTTAGCTTTCCATGTTTCTGAATTTTGTCAGCCTCAGCCATTTCTTCCTCTGTTGGCCATGTCTACACAATGGAAGAATTACACAACAAGTGACTTCCCAGAACAGATAACAACACAAGCCAACTGCCACCTTTTTTTAAGAGAACTAATCAGACTTACCTGTTCCCCTGCTAAAGGATCTGGAATGTTTTCAACTACTAAAGGCTCTTGTTTCATGGGATCAGGAACCAGAGACTTCAATACCTGGTCAAATCAAACACAGGTACAAAAAAGAAAGTGAACTTACAACGAGAAGAAAGCCGTGAAAATAACATTATGAAAGCACAATAACATCTTATTTCTTACAAATGAAATTAATGGTCAAATGATATCATGACAGAATTCCCACAAACTATATAACCTCTATTCCTATAACTATATCTGAAGGATGTTGATCTAGCATTCAACTTAATGTATCTTTTCTAAAGTAATATTTGTTGATTTGTTAAAGAAAATATCATATATACCTCTTCATCATGTGAAGCATCTAATTCCATGGAATTCTGATTTTTCCTTTCATTCAAAGGAAATGGATCCTTCAGCACTTCAATTTTGGAGAATTGAAAATCACCAACTCCAGAAACGTGGATCTAATTTGAGAAAATAAATAAACAAGGGATCCATGGGTATAGCACAAGGCATGATATAGATAGCAGAATGGCTTGATTACCAGCTGATTTACTGACAGTTTGCGAGCACGCAAGTAACCAGAGAGAAGTAGAGTGCACTTTCCTGAGCTTTCATCATCCACCAGCATCCCAACCTAAATGCATCATTCAAAATCGGAGATATTTTACTTTCTATGAAACCTTTTCTTCTCGGGGTCAAATGACATGTTATGAATATAAGTATAAAGCAAGCACCTTCTGAGCCACAACATATGGTCGTTGACTTCGCCAGTGAGGTGCAGTAAGCCTTTGTGCCTTGAATAACCACATAAACTGCAAACCAAAAATACGGATTTGCATCATTTAGACTAACCTCGACAAACTAAGGACATTAAATCTATTAAAACAACTCAGTAAATAATATAAGAAAGTATATCATTCATGAATATTTACCTTATGCAACTCATCTCTGGTATCTGCTGGATAAAACTTACAATCCTCGGGAAATTCAGAAGCAAGTTGAGAGGCACACATCTTTTTCATCTCATTTTTCTTTTTCACATCACTGGGTAAATCCTGCAATCATACAAAAACGACCTTGAGAAGAAGCTCAACTTCAAGAAAAGTTTGAGATATCAGAAACCTGGTCACTATGAACATAGAGCAGCAAGAACTTACACGGATCAACACAGTGGTGCTTGGTAAACCAATTGATCTAAACACAGAAAGACACTGACTTCCGAATGAATCTATGAAGTTAGAGCTATTCTCTTCCCACGGAGCGCTTGCAGATGCAACAAAAGCCATCAAATCAGCAACCTAATATCAGTAAAAAAACAAATCAATAACCACCTGTGACAAACTCTGCTTGCTGAAAGAAACAAACGCAGACAACAATTCACATGCCTTGGCCATTTCCATACATGTCAGAAGATCCCCGTGAGGCGCCTTTAACACCTGTTATATATATATAGTCACAGAATTGATCACACAAATATTCAACATAATATATAAACCAATATTAGTTCCACCAAGGAATACACATACAGTTGCTCTTAGCTTATACTCAGAAGATGCAACTGTTGAAGAACCATTTCCAGAGCCATCAGAAGACAATAGCTTAAAAACATCTTCACCAAGTGAATTCAATTCCACAGAAGCAGAGAGAGGGAACAAAACCTATCATCATTAGAAAAAATACAAACATAAGTGAACATTGCAACAAACACACATCAAACAAAATGTAAAACTCACGATAACACGAGGAGCACTGTGTAATCCTCCTGATGCTCTCTTCTCCTTCAAAACTGCTGCTCTTTTCTGCTCTCGAAGCATCTTTCCACGTTGAACACGAGCAGCTTTAGCACCTTTAACATAGTTACTATCCGATTTCCCAATCCGGTTGCTATCTGATTCGATAAAACGGATCAATTTCGAAAGCTTTTCTCAGTATCTGAAGATTGAAAGAGACGAATTGTTGAGAATTTAGGGTTTACCTTGGAGGGAAGTTCTGTGGAGATTACGAGAAGATTTAGAGGAGAATCGAGTCTTGTGAGCTTTGTTAACTTGAACTCGAGAGCGTCCCATGGCTTCCACAGGAGAGTTGCTGGATTTGGTGACTGCTTTAAAGTTTAAAGCTTAAACCCTAATTTTCAATTTTTTCAGTTTTGTTCCTCAAGGGTTTGGTCTCTTCAGTCTTGTTTGTTGTTTTGTTCGACGGCTCAAAGACAACTGGAAGAAGACGAAGTAAAATATAGTTTATGGGCCTATCAGCCCAATATGAA